ACTTTTTTTATTCTGAGATTAAAGTCAGAATTCTGACTTTAATCTCAGAATAAAAAAAGTCAGAATTCTGACTTTAATCTCAGAATAAAAAAAGTCAGAATTCTGACTTTAATCTCAGAATTCCGACTTTTTTTATTCTGAGATTAAAGTCAGAATTCTGACTTTTTCCCCCATACTAAATTGAAATAAAATTTAAAAATCAGTCAACTTTTTTTTCCTTTCAGTGGCCCTAATCCTCTTCCGTACAAATCTTATTATTTGTATAATAAAGCATATTTATTTGAAAAAGTCACCAGGTTTATGTCTTTAGTATTAATAGAATATACTTACCCATAATACAAATTAGTGTATTCAAATACATAAAGTTCATGCAATTAAAATAATACACTCATTACTAAATTTGAGTAAGATTACTTCATTAATCCTAAATACATAAACCTGTCAATTATGTATTATAGAACACTAAATGAAATTGTTTGAAAATCCAAATTTTAAGCTAAGGGTGTTAGTGGAGGACAGGAAAAAGACCTTATTAGTTTATTTAAAAATATTTATATTTTGATAGCAAAAATCAAGGTCAATGTAATTACAGAAACAGTCACTTGCCCTAACATGTTAACTAAAATAAAAGTTATTCTATAAGAAATTCATGAAAAACACTCATAGATTGTAAGAATCGCCTTTTTTTGTTTAAACATAACTTTAGAAAATTAATGCTGATACAGGCAGTTTTTACTTAATAGCTTATTACGTTTTTTTTTTTTACTTAATTTACAGTAAATATATCATTCAAGGGCTCATCTAATTGGTCAACTGCCAAAAATAGATGTACAGCCATGTAGCAGGATCTTTGCTGAATGGCTGGATATAGATCTTGTGCTCCTAGACCTTACAGTAACTTACCCTATAAAGGGTTAAATAAGTAAGCTATATTAGATTTATGACTATGCATCACATACGGTTTATCTAATAGGTCTGTGGATAGAGAAAAATGAATAAGAATTTGTTAGTTAATAAAATTACCTTAAACTTAAAATTTGGGTGAAAATTATTTTGAGTGTAGAAGGAAAATGTTAATTATTTAAAAAAATTATTGTTAAACAAAATAGACCAATCCGACCTAAAGCAGAAAACAGGAATAGTTTCTATCAGTTTTTCCTACTTTTTTCGGAAAAGTTAAAGGAAAAAATTCCAGCATTTCTGTTAAGAAATTTTAAGAAAATAAAACAGCAGAAGTTTGACCATTCAAAAAAAAGTGCATTAATCCAATTTGAAACAGATGCCAATAGTTACACTGGAGGAGCTGCAGAACTCAGCAGCTCAGGTGGGAGTCTCTGTCAATAGGATAACTATTATCTATGCACTCCTGTAAGTGGAGCTTTAAAGTAGTGATGCAAGCAGAAAGTGAAAAAGGTTTTCTGTGAGCAGTTTAACAGGGAAACTTTCACAGGAAGGATTTCTGGGGAATTTTTATCATTTCCAGCAAACTTCTTCAAACTTTCTTCAGGAAATTCATCTGTGGATTTAAGGAAATTCTCTGTACTGGAAACTTTTTTTTATAGTAATTACTCAAACAGCACTGGGAACTTGGAATGTATTAAGAGTTAATCAGTAACTAAAACAATTACAACAATTATATTTTAATTACGCACAGGCTTGAATCTACGTTATGTTTCAAATAGTTTACACTACTTTCTGTTAGCCTATCTCACAAAATCTAAATAAAATGCGCAAAAAATTGTTGTAAATCTGTGTCGAAATATTTACATGCTGTATTACGTCATCGCTTGTCCTCCAAACTTTGACCGTTTCCAGAAAACAGCTCTACGTCATAGCCGAGGAACAAATGAGAGAATGGCGGCCATCACTTACAGTTAGCACTGCTTTCACTGCTGTGTCTGAAGACGCTACTGAAACACTTTATCACTTTTACTGCTATGATCACTGATTCGCTTTAAAACGCCATTGGGACTCCTGTAAAATCCCGCCACTTGATTTCTACTTCCGCAAGATCACTTCCTGTTTCGGTCCAACTTTCTTCTTCTTCTTCTTTATTGGGCTTTTTTTTTTTTTTTTTTTTTTTTTTTTTTCGTGGTTGGCACGCAACGAAATGGCGCATTACCGCCACCAGTTGGTTTGGACTGTGAATCCTGCTTGTACTGAACAAAACAAAATCAACTAAACATAAACCAATAAAACCAAAATAAGATTTAAATCCTCCCAATTACACTGATTTATCTAAGATAATGAAAAACAACTGCATTATACTTATCTCTTTAGTTCTTTCTAAGGTCGGTCCAACTCGATCTAAAGCGGAGGTCTTCAAGGGGGGTCTGCGACCCCTAGGGGGTCCTTGGCGGTACTGCATGGGGGTCGCGAAAGTTTTGCTTGATAAAACTTTTTTTTACATTCCCCCCTGCAATGTTTTTTTCCCCCACTAACTGAAATGTCTTTAAATCCACATTAACATGAATTTTTACTCACTGTAGTAAACAGATAAATGGAGGCAGAAGATGTATTTCAGTCATCAATGCACACATTCAGCGACACACAGGAGCTCTTTTAAGCTGGGCACCGTTTCATTCACAACACCTGTCCCATCAACCAGGAATCAGAATCAGAAATACTTTAATAATCCCAGGGAGAAATTACTTTCGTTACATTACTCCATCTGTAATAGAGGTACTATAGGACCAGTTTGATTTAACACAGTTTCATACAATATATATAATGCAATACAATGTACTATTAACAGTATTAATTAGATGTATTAGGGCAATTTTTGAAACAATATACGGATTAATTGGTTTCAAATGTTTATCAAAAGAGAAATGGGATCCAAACATTGTTACAGTTCACATATAGTGGTTAATTTTTCGTTCAGATAAATCTAAATTCCTCAAAATTCATTGAAAGTTCTTTTAAAGAGAGAACATATTCTATTTTTTCATGATTTGGAGGATATCTTCCAGTTTGCAGAAAGGCTTACATCGCCATCTTGTGGTCTATAACGTAATAGCCATAGACAATTCGACGCCATATTGCGTGTGGCAGAAATACCTATAGAACTATTTCGCTGTAACGCCTTATAACGTTAAAACCTTTTTGTATATTTTTCATGTCAGTACACTCACATTTTTCCCGTTTAAACAACATAAAACACTATTACTATAAATGTTAGTAGTTATTTGTTATAAAGCTATAGTAAAAAACAATTTTAGGGAGTTTTACATTTGCCCCCCATTTAATTTCCAGATCTCTAATATGTACATAATGAGTGTCCCAGTTAGATAAACTACTAAGGAAAACATTAGCGGTGACTCGTAACAGGCACTTATTTTTGGGGTTTAACAGACTCACACATCATCTATAAAAATAAGCCTAACAATTTAAAAAAAAAAAAATTCCTCGCAAAATAACATACATTTAAAAAAAATATGACTAGAATAACATATTCAAAGCATTTATTATACTTTCAAAATTCAAATAAATCGATTTAGCTGCATTTCTAGGACATTTTCCCACTTTTTACTTCTTATTCTGAATATGCTGTTTTTTGTTGTTGTTGTTTTTTTTTTTTTTTAATATAGCCTATTAATATCATAAGAATCTAAGTCTTGTCACGAATAATATTTTAGAAAGAAACCGACAATGTTGAAGCAACTGAATTTAAATCTTGTTTGATTTGTTGCGAAAAGCCAGTTCCAAATGTTCCACTCACAAGATGGGGGACGCCATAACGTTTGATTTCCTTGCTGGAAAGAAGGTTCGATGAACGCCATGGCGCATTGCATTTTGGGAAATGTGGTATTTTCTTTTGTGAAAAAGTTGAACACCGCCTTTAATTTGACAGAATACACAGACTTTTTTTTCTCCTTCCATCTTTTTTTTTTTTTTTTAACTCATCCACATTGTCATTTGTGATATAAAATAATATCTTGATATAAGCTACTCTCGGTGTTACAGAAGAGTAAAACTACATTACCCAGATTGCCAGACGGCTGTGTTTATACTGGCTATAGCGGACGACAGCGGATGCCTGAGATTTCAGAGGATAAAGCCCACGCCGCAGATAGGGAAATGCTGAGTATTAGTGATTCGGAAGCCTGAAGTTTGTATTTTCAGTGGTTTGTGTCTCCGCTTGTGGTTTCTGGGAGCAGCGGAAGCGTTTACAGAGCCACTGATAGCGTAGGAAATAGCAGTTTGTTTAGCTGCTAGCTAAAGTGTTGACGGGATGTGACTGAATCCGGACGGGACCAGCCCCAGGAACCGGAGCAGCAGTCAGTCACACCCTTATCTGGAATCAGTTGAACAACCTTATTAGCTCAGCAGCATGCAGAAACTGTCGATATTATTTTACTTTAACAACACTGACATGTGTTAGCTTCTAGCTGCTGGGTTTGGCTCACTGTGGAGCAGTTTAAGTCCGGTAGAAATATGACCGAATCATCATCATCATGCCAGAGGTGATAACTCCCACGGCTAACACACTGAACCAGAATTAGTATTTACCAGACGTGTATTTGCTCTCAGCGTGGAAAGATGACTTCTCCAATGTACACCTTTGTTAGCCGCGATGATAACAGCACTATTTATGCAGAAGTGTCTAAAATCCTCCTCTCCACCGGACACTGGAAGAGGCTTAAAAGAGACAATCCCAGATTCAACCTGATGCTCGGTGAACGCAACAGACTGCCGTTTGGACGCCTTGGTAGGTGATGGCTTTGGTTGTTTTAGTTGTTGTCCCTTCAGTCAGCATAAAAACAGATGCTGGGACTTTTTTCTTTAGGTTATTCCCAAACATTGGTATTACCAAACAGTTCAGATAGTCCATCCCAAACAAAATTATAGTTTATAAGCATTTATTTATGATAGTGATGGTGAGATTTCTGATTCTGATTAAGCCTTATGAGGGATTGAACGATCCCCACAGTTCATTAAGCCTTATGTGAGAATATGTCACCACCTACTGGTGGAAAAGCAGAACTACAGTTAGTAATATAATATTTTTTGGAATATCGTCTTTTTTGTACGGAAGAGGATTAGGGCCACTGGGAAAAAAAAAAAAAGTAAACTGATTTTTAAATTTTATTTCAGTTTAACATGGGAAAAAAGTCAGAATTCTGAGATTAAAGTCAGAATTCTGACTTTTTTCTCAGAATTCTGACTTTAATCTCAGAATTCTGACTTTAATCTCAGAATTCTGACTTTTTTCTCAGAATTCTGACTTTTTTCTCAGAATTCTGACTTTAATCTCAGAATTCTGACTTTTTTCTCAGAATTCTGAGAAAAAAAGTCAGAATTCTGAGAAAAAAGTCAGAATTCTGACTTTAATCTCAGAATTCTGAGATTAAAGTCAGAATTCTGAGAATAAAGTCAGAATTCTGACTTTTTTCCCATGTTAAACTGAAATAAAATTTAAAAATCACTTTACTTTTTTTTTTTTTTTTCAGGGGCCCTAATCCTCTTCCATATTTTTGTTTGTTTTTTCACCCCATATAAGTTCATTTGAAATTGTTAATGTTTGGTTTGTATAATAAAATCTTTAGTAAGTTTTTTTGTGTAAAAAATTACTTAGAAGAGAACAATAATTTTAAGTTAATAGTTTTTGTGCCATTTGGGCAATGATGAGACAATGAAAGGTGTTAGTCATTTTTATTTAAACTTAACAGTTTTTCCACAGTTTGTGGTTTTACTCCAGTTGGAAGTTATGTGTTCAACCAATCTTTTGGTTAAAACCACCAATCTATTTTTTGTGTTTTTATCAATCTATATTTATACTAGGGTAACAAATGCAAATTAGTCACATTAGCCAAAATACTAGATGTGTTTTATTAAAACTTTTAAAAGTCTGAGGGGGGAACTAACAACCAACGAATTGAAATTCCATCTCTTACAGCTGATGCTACTACTTATAGAAAGCAATACTACTAAGAATCCATTACATCTATGATCAGCGGTTTGCTCAGATTTTGATCATTAAATCTAACCAAACTAGTTTTAACCAACTAAATTGGTTGGAAAAAAACAGCAGTCTATTCTTAGAATATGTCCAAACTGTATCCAACTCTCCTACAAACTCCCACATCTTCGTCACGTGGTATGGTGGGTAGCGAGGCTTCGGACGTCATCTATTTTGGCTCCTCCCCCAAATGAAGCAAGCCTCGATAAGCCTCGGGGAAACGCCCCCTCCAATGAAGCGTCATCTCATGACATCACTAATTTATTGTATTTGTGGTTATTATATTGACAGCTAATCTACAACATTCAATATCAGTCAGTCAGTGTTTAAAATGATTTATAATACAGAGATTATAAGGCAGTAATAAGGAGCAATGCTGATTTGATAGCTGCCTAAGAGTTACACTGACACAATGAGAGTGGGAAGTTTAGTGGAAGGAAAAAGTACACTAACATTAGAAACGCTTTCTGGAGTCAGAGCTTCAATAAAAATAAAATATAGAGCTATCCAGGTCCAGAAACGACATGTTGTGACCGAAGCTCCAGTAGACGCTGGTCGTAAATGCAGCATCGATGCCTACTTTGTCGCATCCTAATCGGCGCAGTTTGTGTTTTCGTCTGGAGCTGTAGCAAGCCGCTGCCTTCAGGCACAACCATCTTGGATGGCGTGTTTTTATTTTCCCCCCACACCGTTTACATTTGATCACTGCTGCAGTTGATGGCATGGAAATGTTCATTTACTGTCTGGAAAGCTGCACTAAATAAAATTTCATTTTTTTATACACTCTGCATAAAAAACACAATAGAAGTTGTCTAAGTCTAAGGACGTGGGCAATGCTTCTTGTGTTAAGCCACTCCTAAAAGACTTTTTCAGAAGTTTCATGAGGAAAATGACTGGTTTATTGCTCAATAGTAACTTATCCTCCTTTAGGATGAGATAAT